GCTGCATATGTGAAATACTCCACACACACACTATATATATATATATATATATATATATATATATATTTTGGATATTAATATCTCTATGGGGCAATAGTTACAAAGCTAGTCTCATAAACTCTTATTGCAGTGAGTTTGGGCATCATTTGATGTCTCAACTTATGACCTTGTGCTATAAATATGTTTGCCTTGCTATGGAATGATGATTAGCAAACCAGGCTCAAGTTTGATCCACACTATGCCTCAGACTAAGATAAGCATATTAAACACATGTAATTCAGGATGTATTTTTCTGATTCTATTTTATAAATTTATTCTTATTCACTATATTGACAATTATTGGGGCGTATTTATTCATTCTTTATTTGTCTTAGAAAATTTGAAATTTTCTTTTGCTTGGGCGATGTGTTGTATGTCTCCTTGCATGGGGTTGATGTGTTGTATGTCTCCTTGCATGTAGATAGGCGTAAGGTAGGAGGAATGCATCAAGTGTCTCCTTTTTCTATTTTCTTCTGTCCTCTATTTTCATCAGGTTCATCAATGCCCGTCGTCGTATCCTGCAGCCAATGCTGGATGCTAGCAATCCTGATCAAGCCAAAGTGAAAAAGAACAAACCCCAGAACCGCCCCCTGCAGAGATTTTGGCCAGACAACATTGCCAACCTCCGCCCTCAAATGCCTTCCTCCCATGAAGGTGACTTGTCAGAGAATTCTAGCCCTTTATCTCCAGGAGGCTGCAGTGGCGGTGGAGGAGCTTCCAATGACAGTACCTCAATAGTCACTTCCAGTCAACCGTCCACTCAACACTTAGTAGTGCTGTCTATGGCACCAACTGCAACTACTTCTACTGCCAGTAAGCAATCCCTTCAGTCTTTATCATTTCTTTGTTTCATAGACAATGTCAAGGATGTTGTCAGAGGATGTTTTTATTTGATGTCACTTTTAGGCTTTTAATTTACAAGTTCATGTAACTCATGATATTCTTGGTGCAATTTATTAAACAAATATCTCATAACTTTCATTTGCTTTAATGATTTAAATATGTTGTGAAACTGCACATTCTGCTGCTATTGAGGAATGACAATAAACATAGTTGTGATGTAGTACAAAAAATGTATTTACCGAAAATAGCACCTATGACAAGCATTAAAATTGCACCTTTGTCTAGTTAAAATCAAAAAGATTGAAGTTTCAGGGACATATGAGGAAAGAAGACTTGGAAAATTTAACTTGCAGTGCATATTGCCAATAGGAGAGATTGAGTAAACATTGAGTAACCGACCTAATAAGTTTGTGTAAATGGATGGCAGACTAGGGACAAAGTGATGGTAGAGAGTTAAATGTTGCTTTGTGAGAGACTGGAAACTTTGGAGAAAGCCATGATCAACCATGTTCTGAATGGACATGGCATGCAGAAGTAGTAGGCTGCACATTTGATATGATGACAAATATCTTTTAGATTCCTTTACTATATCGGCTCAAAAATACTTTGATTTTTATAATGTTTGGAGTTCTACTTTGTTGTGACAAATAAGAGAAGTCAATTGGAAAACAACTTCTTACAAGCCACATTATAATGGTTTCATAGAGAAAGCATGCAAAACAAAGTAGCAAGTTTTTTTGTTTTTTACATTATTCACTGTACAAGTCTCGAGAGTCACTCGAGATAGAGGGTTACAGAGTAAGAGGCATAGTTTGTGATTATGTGGGGAAGATAATGGCCAACATTAGACTTGAACTAGTTAAGATTGTAGTGATCATGGAAGCGTTGTCTTGAGAGTCAGTTCCACAAAACAGCAGTTTGTGACAAGAAGCTGCTAGAGTGGATCTTCCATCTCACTAATGGAATACAAAGGGGATGTGGATAGTTATATTTGCAGACCTGATAAAGTGTAACTTAGTGTAGATGGTACTAGTAAATATTTGACAGCTGTAAAGCATCTACATAGCCCTGTAGGTGAATTATTTTCCACTCTGCAACCCCTTTCTCACAGAGAAAATGGTGTATTCTGTTGCTATTTCCATAGCATGTGTTCTAATGCACCACATTCTTTGGGCCAACCAGCCCTTACCTTTGCATATGGGACTCACCAAGCCATCCATACAAGGATAAATCATCCTCATTCAACTTCATATTCCATTAGTAAGAAATAAGTTCCATTCAGATAGCTTCTTCCCAAGAAATGTTGCTTTGTGAAACAGACTCCTGGCAGGATGTTTTTCCAATCACTGCAATCTTGACCTCTTCAAGTCTGGATTAACCATTAACTTTCCTTTGTAACCTTGTGAACTTCAATTCTTGCTTTTTCTTACTCTTATACAACAACACACAGTAACGCTCTACCTTGAGTGGTTCTTGGGTCTTGTATTGGGTGAACACTGGTGTGTATGTATATATATATATATATATATATATATATATATAAATAAAAATTGACCAATGATGCCACTGTGAGAATTGCATCTTTACTTGCTTCCATTGATGCTCAAAGCCAGCCCCCCCCTTTTTTTTACCATTAGGCTAACCCTGTACTAGAGGCCCAAAGGCCACTTGAGGTAGAGGGTTAAAGAATAAAAGGCACACCATTGTTTATGTGGATAAATGGGGAAGATGGTTAACCCTAGATGTGAACAGGTTAAGATTGTAGTGATTGGGGGAACATCCACTTGGGAGTCTGTTTCACAGAGCAGTGGTTTGTGGGAAGAAGCTGCTTGAGTGGAACTTACTTCACACTAATAGAATATGGAGGGAATGAAGGTGATTTGCTACAATGTGAATGGCATGGTGATTCCTAATTGTAAAGGTTAGAACTTGCAAAACCAAGGAATTCACTTTCCATGGAAGTAGTGATGGAGCTATGAGAAGCTTGCCACATCGAACATGTGATAGGGAGGTTGCAGGCTGGAAAATAATTTGTTACCCACAAGATACAGAGATGCTTTTGGATTGGCAAGTAAGGACTGGGCAGCTCCTGGTCAAATATGACAGCAGTATTCCATTTTACACCTGATCTGACTCTTGTAAAGGTAAAGGAGAGCATTGAGGATTCAGGTACTTAGTGGAGTGGTACAGAGAACTACTTGGACCAATTTTAATGTGAATTAAGTTTAAGTGTTTAATGATTTTTCTTGGTTTCTTTCAGATTTAACAACTTAAGTCTTTGGCAATTTCAACCATCGAAAGATTAACAATCAAACGTGTTAAAGTTATCGGAGCCTATTATGAAAATGGATGGTCAAACAGAAATGCATTTTGCGCATTTCGTGATTTTTTTTTTTTTTTTTTTTTTTTGTCAACGTAATCGACCAACCAAGAGTGCAATTGGAAACAATGTAACATTGTTGTGGAGAGATTCAATTCCTGCACGTGATGAATAGAGGGGGGTCTGGATTTTTGGTCACATGTTCATGCACTGCAGCAATGTTTACAGCTGAATGGTGTAAACAAGCACACAATGGTGTTTTTCACTGACCCAGTTTGAATTTATGGACAGTTTTTCCAATTGCGCTCTTGAAACTTTAACATGTCTGATTGTTAATCTTTTCATGGTTGAAATTGCCAACGACTTAAGAAAAAAAAATCATTAGGCACTTAAACTTAATTCACATTTAAAATCGGTCCAAGTTATTGGAACACTTCCTCTCATTTCATTGTTGGAAGTGTTACCTGATGATCCGAAATCATTTAAAAAGGATTTTGGTGAAATAAATTATTGTAATGGTACCTTAAAGTGGTCTTTTTTCATTAAATATTATATCTGTTCTTCACATTGAGCTCTCGGGATTTCATCCTCCTTGGATTTACCAATTCGGTTTACCAAGTTCTTCACAACTTAATTATATATATATAAGTTCCACTTGAGGTCTGAGAGAGTTTATGGTCCAATAATAGCTCAAGGCATGTGGGCAGCCATTCATGATGACAGTTGGTAGTTCAGGGTTCAACAAATATATATATATATATATATATATATAGACCCAAAAAGATGAAAAATAGAAGAACACATACCCTCAAATGTATTTCTATTAAGGAAAATAACTGAAATTTATATAAGAACCAAGATATCTCTCCCTCACACAGTGGTTCTGCGCCATTAAAGGAATCTGTTCATAGGTTTCATATTGTCAACAATGATAAAATAGACCTGAATACATCACTGGACAATATTTATTGTTCGGTCAACATAACCATAACAATCACTTAAATACATATGCCATAGTTTGTTACTTGAAATTGAAATGGTCCTTCAACTCTGAGTAGTGTCCTTACATTAAAACCATTTTTATTTCAATACAGTCTATACTGCAGACCCAAAAGTGTCACCCCATAAAAGTGTTGCCCAGGGCAAACCTTCCCACTTCTAGCTATGCTGCTGACCCAGAGACAACATTTTACACTTCTGACCTGTATGTGGAGACCTCTAAAATCTGTCCCCTTCTATCTCCTGCACATGTACTATCTTTTATTTACAACACCTTATTCTGGGAAGTCATGATGCTGCTACATCATAGGCTATATTTTGTAATGTTAATGGTAAATTTTAAAAGTCAATGCAAATTTGAACTGTTGCAAAGAAACAAACAGTTTATATTAAAATAAAACAATTTGCTTATTTTTGTTTTTTTTTGTTTTTTTCAGTTGTAACTGCTGATGGTCATCTTGCAGTATCTCTTGAAAGGCTGCATTCTCACCAGGTAGCTGCCCACTGCTCTCTCTCCAATTCACCTGGGCCCACACCCATCATCATTGAAAACAGCAATGATACAAACAACAATGCCACAATTATTAACACTCCTACCACATCCATAATCTCTACCAATGTTGCTCCTAACAATAATAAAGTTGATAATGTCCAAAACAACAACGATGATGATGATGATTTGGAGGAGGAAGAAGAGAATGAACTAGATCCTGTGTCTGAAGAAGTTAATCGAAACAATCTCTGTCTGGGAGATGACAATTCTGAAGATGAAAGAGACTCTTCACCTTTGCTTGATTAACCGACTCATTTTCGCAAAACATTTCTTATATTTTAATCATCATGGATGCAACATTTTTTCTTTCATATTTCCAAATGCAAAGAGAGTTTTTCTTTTTCTTTCTTTCTTTCTTTTTTTTTTTTTTGTCATCTCAGTAGAGAGCCCCCTACGGCTGTGATAAGGGCAGCTTACCCCACACCCAAACACTTATAAGAGCTGAACCCTGGTTTTTTACAGGACATTTTTCCCATGTTGTTGTCGTCCAACTTTCATACTCTATTTACAAAAAAAAAAAACAAACAAAACTCCCCCACTCACACCACCACCACCACCACCACCGACTGTGCTGAGATTCGAACTAGGATTTAACCTAAATTGTTCACTTAACCCAGCATCAAGATCTCAGCCGAACTCTGTCCTGATCTGATGCCATTCAAAAAAATTCCTTTTGTTTTTCATATTTTTTATTAACCATATTATGTTCTCATCACAGAATGTTTGGACATTGTTTTTTGTATTTTTTTGTTAAAAAAAAGACAGACAAAACGTTGTATGGCCATGGCCTGCAAAATATTTGCACTAATAATTCACACACAGCACACTCTGTTAATTCCAGTGATTTGTATGCAACACATACTCATATATATATATATATATATATATATATATATATATATATATATACCTACTATCTCACCTTCTCACTAATGAGTTTCTTCCCCTGGTCCCAAACAAAAACGCATTTTGAAGAATATATTTTTTTAACTAATCGCAATTTTTTTAACTATGCTCATATTACTGAGTTTTTTAATTTAAAATTCTCAGGATTTGGGGGTGGGTAAAATGGAGTTAAAAAAAAAAAAAATGAACTTGTATACAGTTTTGAGCTTTTGTTTTTTTTTTTTTTTTTTAAAAAAAAAAAATTGAAAAAAAAAAAAAAGCTCGGAATTGGCAAAATCAAACAGGTTAGTGTTTTAGTTGATACTAAACAAAAAATGTTTATTTTTCCTTTTTTTGTTTGTTTTTTTTTTTTTCCCCTTTCTTTTTAAATTTTAACTAGCAGATTATGTATATTTTAATGATGACTTTTTTTTTTTTTTTAAATTTAAGTACTGCTTATAATCTCAATACTATAAAAGAAAAGAAATCTCAATGTAGACTTTGGTTGACTTGTACTGATTTGGAGCCTTTTCAAATTAGTTTTTTTTCCCCCTTGCTTTCTTCTTACTAAGAAATTTGAGGCTAACATAACATTGACTTTTGTCTTGTCTAAATTGTCAACAGCAAATTTCTTACCCACATCCAACAATTGACTTTGTGTACTTGTTGATGGTCAAAATGTTAACAGCAGTAAATATAAAGAGAATAGGCTCAGTTGCTTGAACAGTATTGGTTATCATAATGTCTTTTCTCAAAGTTATAGACAAAACATTTTTTTTTTGTTTTTTTTTTTAACTACAACCAAATTCAAAGATAACTAACTAGATGTCTGAAAAATCTAATCATGATGTCAAGCTTGATAATTAGAGTAACAGCTTTTTGCTGTCATTGTCTGGATAAGTAATCATGGTGGAGTAGTTTTTATAAGTGCTCGCTTGCCTACACTTTATCTGCAAGATTTTTTTTTAATGGGATAGGCAGGAACCACCTTCTCCCTGTATTTTCTCAAGAGCATAAACAACTTCAGCCAGAATTTGAATTCTGTTCGTTCTGTTTTCGCTGCTAATAACTGCTATGTCACCCTGCACCTCTGTATACTTAACTAGGATTCACATTTTTATCACTGATTAACTTTGCTTGTTATATTAATAATTGTTTCTGCAATTACTGACATTAAAAGAAATGCAGAAAATGTATTAACAGCAGAACAATCACCAGTTGACTCCAGAGTCATTTGAACCTCTATACTTCTGGTGTTCATGGCCAAACTCCTACCACTGCTCCATAAATAGTGGAATAACATGTTAAATAGTTAATATTTGGAATTGGTAAAATAGTCCAATAGTTTAATCACATTTCCTTTTCAAACATGTATAGAGAAATTGAAAAATGGGTACTATATTCACAAGTTGAAATTAAACAATGAAAGACACGGAAACAACACTACATTAATCAACTCATTATTGGAGGTTTAAAGAGTCTAGTGAGCCAGACCCCAACATCAAATGGGAAATTTTAAGTATAGAACATGCATATAGTGGAAAAAGTGATGACTAATTTGTCCATGTCAAAAATGTTCATTATAGTACAGGGCAATGGAGATAAAAGAATGTTGAATAAGAGACAAAAACATTTGTCTAAATGCAAACATAAGAAATTTCTAATAAAAAAAAAATAAACAAGTGTATAGGCCTGGAATAATTTTTAAGCATCTCTCATTCTTCCTTTTCTTTTTTTCTTTCCATTGACATCCTGGCGCCTCCTAAATTATGGTCTACTTTTGGTACTATACATTACAGTATACCATATATGGTAATCTTATACTTAAGAGCAGAAACTACCTCACAATTCCTTCTCACTCCCTCCTATATAACCATTAACCTGTATTCTCTGTACCTCACTACTGATGTTTATCTACACATGAAACAACCAGTATCAGCAATAATTTGAGAGCATGTGTAAAATTTGTTTTTTTGTTTTTTTGTTTAGATTTTCTTGTATAAAAAGGTAAATTTTATTAGTGCAATAAAAGCAGACATATTGTTTTGAATTGCTTTTTATTATGTTATATATATATATATATATATATATATAAACAAAATGGCAATACCAAAGTATAATAATGATTAAAAGCAGCTAAACAGGTCTATTGATCCTCTCATCATAGCAAAAATTGAGAACAAAAAATGTGCACAGTGGCTAAAACAAATTATACAACCCCAGACTCCTATTGCATGCAAATAAAAATATAATATTAAAGGCTAATTACCTTTTAAGGCCATCACCACTCCTTCTGAGATGGCTGGCAAAGCTTAATATACATGGATTCCCAAAACTTTCAAGTAATAATCAGTATTGGCCCTTCTCAGCACCGAGGACATGTCTGGGTTATGACTAGGCACACTGCTGGTTTTTAATCAAATGTTAAGCTGATAAATTAACAAACCTATGTAAATTGTCCACTTTTCCCTTGTGAATATTGGCTAGTACATGTTGGTTGATCTGGGCTTCCAACCTTTTTTGTTATGAAATATTTTTAATATGTCTGCTTTTATTGCTCTAATAAAATTTTGTACCCCTCTGAAAAAGCTATATTTTGGCAGTAAGAATTCATTTAAACAAGTCAGTTGAATTTAACAAAACTTTGAATTTCTACGATGAAGATTTAGTGATTTACATATGGACTATTGTCCTCATCTTTGTTGTTAATGTCACAATGTTTTAGCTGTGGTGGCTTCCAGTCTTCTTCAGGTACTAGTTGATCAGAGTAATCTTCAGGGAATTTTGAATTGAATCCTTTATTATCTACAAGGGTAGATTGTTCTACTGTCTGTGTCTAGGAATATATTTTCCTGTTCTTGTTTAGTACTGATTGATTCAATAATTTGTCTGAATTTCTTGGATAAGGAATTACTATTATTTACATACAGACTATTGTCCTCATCCTGTTATTATCACAGTACTAAATATGAATGAGATTAGATATGAAGAACAGAATGAGGATAATTTACTCTTGAAGATTAAATAAAGACTTTGGTTAGCCATATTGACAAGAACATGAAGAAGGCCACAGCCAAAATGTGATAACAACAAAGATGAGGGTAAGTAGTAGTCCATATGTTAACAATACTTCTTATATATATATATATATATATATATATTTTATTTTACATACAAAAGCAAATGACTTCATCATTGTAACTAGGTTTGAATTCAGTTGTAGCTATCAGAAAGTTTTTCACTCTTGAACCCATTGTACCAGTTTATTGGCTTCTAATCACTGATAAAAATTACGCAGGCTTTTGTCCACATCACATTGGTGATTTGATGGGAACCAGTGTTTCAAAGTTAAGAAACGTTGAACCTGGTCAGTACCTAGTTGGGTGACCTCCTGAGAATACCAGTTGCTGTAAGCTGGATGTGTGGGTGGTATAATGGATAATGACTCAGAATTGTTAATTGGAGTGCAGTTCCAAACAGTTTAAGAATGAGAATCATGTTTGGAGATTTTGTGTTGATAATTGAAACTAGATCAGATTTTAGAAGTTTTGTCTTTTCGTTACTGACTCCTAAAGAGCAGGCAGGATATGAATGGGTGTCATGTGGTCTGGCATAAATCAGTGACATGTTTCTCATATCATGTGTGGAATTTAAAATATTAGTCTGTATTATCATTTAATATTTGGTTTCTATTGAAATAGGCTACAAAAGAAAAATATCTAACTGAATATTTCATAGAATCTTAAGATTCGATTATTGCATAGGGTTGTGTAACTGAGCAACTGAACAGTTCACTCTACATATCTGGGTTGAAAGCCATAGAGGTATTCATTCATATATGACACAGCATCAATAGGCAGAGGCCTTCCTAGGCTGAAGTCTATGGTCAGGGTGGAGGGTTCCCTCATATCTGTGAGCAAACTGAGCCTTCAAGTTGGAGGACACTGGCTGGAGAGGAATGGGTCCTCAAAATTTACTTGCTAAAGACACACCACATATGAAATGGGTCAAACATTCAAATAGTTTGATTTATTTTGATTCATTTTTTTTTTTTTTTTTTTTTTTTTTTTTTTTTTAAGTCTCAAACATTAGTTTACCATTCTTTCAAAAATATATATGATTCTAAACTAGCTCCCCCACTATAAATATAAATACCACTCATATATAATATATAAATAATATATATTTTTATTTACACATATATGTATAATTAATGGTAATCATTTAGCTGATTGATGTTACATTCAGATGGGGTCTTGAGCCTTGAATGTCAACCTTTTGAGAAATGGTGTCCTGAAAAAACATTTGGTGTATTGGACTACCATGAGTGTCAGAGTTGGTTGTCAGGAAGAGCATCTGAT